GCGATATAAGAGAAGTACCTCTTGGTGTTGTTGTCAACTACATTAAATCTGTAGTCTAGCTTATCAGCTAATAGGTGCCTATCATCTTATAAGGATGTACAATGGGCTTAGTAAGGCCTAAGTGCTGTGGAAGGTATCCCACCTTCGCTACACGTTACAGATACATAAGTACTGTAGGTAGCTCTAATTATATTTCTATTAGATCTTAATAGCAGCAACTTGATTTCTCGAAGCCATATATTTTAATTGTTCTGTATTATTGTTTATTTACTATTTTAATATAATTTTTAACCGACTTCAAAAAAGATTGCTCAAAGCGGGTCGTTTGCGAGCGGTCCTATTGCCTGGCAAGTGTTCATTAATTTATATCATAAAATAAGTGAAAAGCTCTCCTTAGACTAGTGTATTATAAATAATTTAATTTTAGAGAGTTTTAACCGAGAATAACGATCAAGGAGAAGCGACAGTAGCTGTCGGTGCCTTTGATATCGGATGTACCTTTTTCACAGCATGACTTTGATTGATACACAACTTAGCACGCTGAGAAAACATGCTTATTTTCTACACTGAGCGAAATAGTTTGGCAAATTATCTGAAATCATTGTTATAATCCATGCGCAAATGTTGTAATGTGATTTAATTACATTGAAGTAGTTAGGGTTAATAGCAATGGTGAAATTTCGGCACCAAAATATAATTAATTATGTAATAATTAATTATTTATTATAAAAGTAAAAGACGTTTATTATTTTATAATTTATCTATTAAATTTGTTCAATATTTGGTTTATTGTTAAAAATGTAATAAAAGCCCCATATTTAAATTAAATTACCTTTTCCTTAAGTAAAAATAAGGTTAATAAAATAAAGAATGCCAAAAAAAATTTAGGTAACAATTAAAAAGACATTAAGTTTGAGATATTTAACTGAATATTTGCAATGTGCTTATATTTTCAAAAACTTTTAGGTTTAAAAAGTACTTACATATTTTAAGAATTTCTGGATTTATATTATATTAAAAGGACTTTCAAGTTTATCACTCATTTCTGTATAAACAATTGTTTTCTCGCCAATTTAAGCCAGATATCATTTAAGGTTTATGTATTTAGAGGCCTGGCTATCACCCAGACAATAAAAATATGTCCATTGGACGTCCATTCGATATACAATTTTGGATGTCTAGACGTCCAAGAATGAGTTTTTTTTTGTACTTCCGGCATCCAATAGACGTCCAATGAAGTATACAAATGGCACACTTTTGACCATTCAGAGGACGTTTAATTCTGGAATATATTTGGACGTCGAATACTGAACATTCAAAAACGTCCAGGATTATATTTCCATTGAGACCACATCCCCACTTTTTTTACAGAACCGCAACTTACCACACACTATTTTATATTAATAATAATTTGTTTATTATTTTCGCAAACCGCTATACACCATTTATTTTTTTTTATTAAAAATCGCTTGACCTGAGCAGGCATCGAACTCACGACACATCCATTATCGTTTTACCCTTTCAATCGCTAGACGAGCTCGACCAAGGAACCACTTAAAAACTTTTTACTAGATACAGTTATAATTGAATAAGATTTCAAACTTCCGCTGATAGAATGAAATGCAACAGATTCAATTTGTCAATTTTTAATTACCAGTTATATTAAAAAAGAAGTATATATTATAGATGAGTATTATCTGGTAGGCTTAATAAATAATGACCTAAGATGGACGTCCACTGGACGTCAAAATACTACTAAACTTAAAATTAAGTCCAAAAACAGACGTTCTCTGGGTATCAATATTCAGCTGTCAATTTAATTAGCATAAACGGACGTACACTGGATGCCCGGATATGGACGTCCTGAACCTCAAATAGATCTAAAGTGGACGTACATTGGACTATGTGTGCTGTCTGGGCATAGACGAATTTTTTGAAATAGTACTTATTTAAGTATAATAATAATAATAATAATAATAATAATAATAATAATAATAATAATAATAATAATAATAATAATAATAATAATAATAATAATAATAATAATAATAATAATAATAATAATAATAATAATAATAATAATAATAATAATAATAATAATAATAATAATAATAATAATAATAATAATAATAATAATAATAATAATAATAATAATAATAATAATAATAATAATAATAATAATAATAATAATAATAATAATAATAATAATAATAATAATAATAATAATAATAATAATAATAATAATAATAATAATAATAATAATAATAATAATAATAATAATAATAATAATAATAATAATAATAATAATAATAATAATAATAATAATAATAATAATAATAATAATAATAATAATAATAATAATAATAATAATAATAATAATAATAATAATAATAATAATAATAATAATAATAATAATAATAATAATAATAATAATAATAATAATAATAATAATAATAATAATAATAATAATAATAATAATAATAATAATAATAATAATAATAATAATAATAATAATAATAATAATAATAATAATAATAATAATAATAATAATAATAATAATAATAATAATAATAATAATAATAATAATAATAATAATAATAATAATAATAATAATAATAATAATAATAATAATAATAATAATAATAATAATAATAATAATAATAATAATAATAATAATAATAATAATAATAATAATAATAATAATAATAATAATAATAATAATAATAATAATAATAATAATAATAATAATAATAATAATAATAATAATAATAATAATAATAATAATAATAATAATAATAATAATAATAATAATAATAATAATAATAATAATAATAATAATAATAATAATAATAATAATAATAATAATAATAATAATAATAATAATAATAATAATAATAATAATAATAATAATAATAATAATAATAATAATAATAATAATAATAATAATAATAATAATAATAATAATAATAATAATAATAATAATAATAATAATAATAATAATAATAATAATAATAATAATAATAATAATAATAATAATAATAATAATAATAATAATAATAATAATAATAATAATAATAATAATAATAATAATAATAAATTTATTCACTCAAAATGATGACACAACAGATAATAAAACATATTAATTAATATAAATTTATAAACATATAATCCTTATCAGCAATTATTACTAAAAGTAGAGTAAACAAATGGTAACCCACAAAGGTATGACCTGTCCGTGGGTGATTCCATTTTTGCTAGTCTCCAATTTTTAATGTATTAAAATTAAAATAAAAATTAAAATATTATACAAAATATCAATAATATTTAACACACAAACATATATAAATATATTTAGTATAAATTATGTAAACACTAAGGCGTAATTAAATTATGTAAACACTAAGGCGTAATTAAATTATGAATCACTTTTCTATCACAATTTAATACAAAAGTTTTAGCTTTCTTTTTAAAAATACTTTTTGATTTACAACTTCGAATATTGAGAGGAAGGAAATTGTATAGCCTTTTTGAAATATAATTATAATTTCTTTGACCAATGGTTTTTGAAGCTGATACTGTTTTTAATAACTTATTTGTTTTTTGTCTAGTCTCATAGTTATGTTGAATATGACTGTTTGTTTCTATTTCAATAGAGGTAACTATTTTATAAAAATAAATCTGTCTAATATCAAGGTTATTTGATTCTTGATACAATGTATCAGAGGGATATAGAGAAATGGTTTATTTAATATTATTTTTAGGAATCTCTTTTGTAATACTTCTAGTTTCTTTAAGTGATTATCCTCCAAACCTCCCCATCCCACAATTCCGTATGATATACGCGATTCTACTAAAGCATAATATAGTATTTTTAATTGACTTTGATCTAATATATTTTTTAAATATTTAAATCTGTATAGTAAGCTACGTAAAGTTGAAGTAACCCTATCAACATGTAAATTCCATCTAAGGTGCCTATCCACAGTTATTCCTAAATATTTTATGTTTTCTTTTGCATAGATTTGTATGTCTCTATTATTTTTTATTTGTAAGGTGTCATATGTCGGCAATGAATTTGTGTAGCAACTAAAGGGAATAAAACAAGTTTTATTAAAATTGCACTGCACTGCACCAATATTTCCAAAATCAACTCCAGCGTATGATTCAATCAAAACATCTTTATATTGACATAATTGTACCTTACAATTTAGCCATAATAAAGGGATTTCGCCCATTTTGACCAATCCTAATTGAAACACGCGGATTTATTATATTTTTTAAATATAATTTCAAAATAAAATAAACAAAATCTCCAGTTCATTGTTTATTAAATTTATTTAAAAGAAGAAAACATATATTTCACAAAATAAAATACCTACATTTGAAAAATAAAATGTCAAAAATGATTAAATCATTATACTTAATATTTATGCATGTGATAAAATTCTTAGTTTCCTAGTAACTTTTTTGGCACATTTTATATCTGCATTAGAATACCTAAAAATCTTCATCTTATTACTACACAAAACAAACACCAAAAAATATCACTTAACATTGCTCACGTACTAAACACAACTTGGACTGACTTTGACAGGTAACATCATTTTGAGTGATACACAACTTATTTTCGCATATGCGCGTTAAAAAAGGGTACACTAAAAACACCAAGCTGTCGCTTCTCCTTGATCGTTATTCTCGGGTTTTAAGGCAAATATTTTTTATGGGAATCTAGGTAAACTTAAAAAAATGTTTACCAGTACAGGCGTAATAATTTTATGAGTAAATATTTTTCATAAGTATTTTTCAAATTTTTAGGGTCCTAGCGGAAATTATTAACATTTTTTCTTAACATTATATACCATTTTCCAACTTTTTTACTACAAGCATTTTATAACAACAAAAAAGTTAAAAAATTACCCACTCTACTAATTATACCCACCATCGTGAATTTCATAGTTATATGTTTAATTAAGCTGTAATAATAGGGCATTATAGCTTACTGTTTATGGGAAACACAACTATTACAACCAATAGTAGACCAGATAATGACGGATATCCTATAATTATCCACATAGCTAACACTATGACAATAAATTGTATCACGCAGATAATTGACATAGATCCAAATTTGAGTACAGCCTGGAAATGACGTAGATCATCAGATACCAGGTTTAAAATATTTGTCTTTGTTGCCTCGTCCAAACGTTTTGATTCAATTTTCAAAATCTAAAAATAATTACTAGATAATCAAAAAGATAGAATCAATATTAAAAAATTTGATCCACCCTGTATTTTTGCTACAGTTAGGGTAAGTAATTGATAAATATTTTAAACAGAAACTGTCTTACTTTTCTGTATATTAACGATGAAACAGCTGCTATCGTCTTCATACCTAATTTGTTTAGTTGGAAATGTACAAAATGCTCAGTTGTAAAAGTAATCAATGAAACAATAATAAATATTGAACCAGAAATACATCTGTCACATACATCATATTCTTCTCTAAAAGTTTGAATTAAGACTGCCAATAAAATACAAAGTCCTGGTCTAAAAAATAAAAAAATATTAAAATACTAATAGCCGGTTGTAAGAACGATTTTTAAAATTAACCCATAACTTTATTGAATTCCTAAATTATCTTTTAAATGGTACATTTGACAACGGCGCTTTTCCAAATAAAAGTATGAAGTAAATTATGACAATATTCGAGATACGTCCCTATCAAGAATTATCTCTTTCCTTGTCGGCTTATTTAATAGAATACGCTGCATGTGAACACAAACGATATGTTTTTGTAATCAGCTCAAAATTTGCCATATTGAACATCGCTTCGCATTACAACACCTGCAAAGATCTGAGACTGCACGAACTTTTAACATGAGAATTGTTTACAAAATATACTTATTTGAAAATACTTAAAGAAAACGAATTTTAAGAAGATTTAACAGTGTGAAAAATTAGATTTTACGATTGAAAATAAAGGATTATTCATAAATAGTAATTACTTTAACTATAAAAATTAATATTTCTCTAATTACAAATAGTATTTTGTAGCAAAACCTAACATACAGTGATACATGATACAAGGACTTTATTAATAATGAAAATAACTAACTTTGGAAAAAGAAAAGAAACAACATGACAGGATAAAAAATATTATTTTTAAAATTATCCTGTTATATAATCTAAAATAATAACAAAAAGTGCATTAAAAATCAAATAAAAATTAAAAAGTTAATGTTGTTTTACATTTTAATTATTAATAAAAGCAAGATACATTATTACTGAGCAACATTTATTTTAATTAACTATTTAGGTATTGTTATAGAGTGTTTAAATGTCGTCATTTTCATAAACAAAAATAAATATAGTCAATACCACAAAACATCTTTTAATGTTCCGGTTTCGGTCCAAGGGGTGTCTCTTTAGGACTGAATGCAGCTATTATGTATTAAACTTTTTTTATTAAAAAGAGGACAGAGGTATCCAAAAGTGCGATATTTTCAAGATAAGATAAAGGGCTGATTGCCAGAGAAAGGGAAAAGTTTTCTTTTATAAGTCGAGTATGATATATAACTGGTTATTAGATAAGATGTATTTAGGCTGGTTATATTTAACTTAACAAAGAAAGGGATGGAACGAGTACCTAAGTAAGTATTCTGACTAGGAAAAAAGCAACGAGGTGAGAAACAAAAATCACCCTTTGTGAATCAGCTGAATTTTGTTTCCCAAGAGACTGAATTAATACCACTTGGCAAAAATTAACATTAATAACTTAAGTATTAACCCTAAAACAATGTTACTAAGCTATTTTATGAATGATTAAGTACTTATGATGTTATAAAAGTAACTAAAAATTGGCTATTTTCAGTATTATATTTCATGTTCTACTAGATCACGTGTGATATGAATGTTCCCAAAATTCTGATGTGTAGAATTTTTTTTCTCGGTATTTTTTCTTTTGTTAGTTGGACATTTTAAAAAAATCTAGCTAAATTTAAAAAATACAAATATACAAGAAGATTCATTAGTTATGGCCTAAAAATTATTGAATACATATTTATTGAACCATTAACAATAGGCTCGATAATGTCCGATTAAAAAACAGTTGAATAAATATGGTGGACACCTGCCATCTTTTAAAAATTTAACACGTTCGCGACGTGCTGGATTTACAAGAACCCACTAAGAAACGCATTTTTTTTAACTGCTGTTTTTTAAATTTTATTTTGTATTTTGCTGTAATTAAATTGTTTTGAACTAAAATCGTGTTTTTCCATTTTAAGATTATTTAAAGGGTGCCCCGCCAGTGGGTCACGACGGCCCTTCGGAAAAAAAAAGACTGGCCGTCGTGACCCACCGGTGGGCTAGCAAAATTATTGCAGTTGCAGAGAACACTACCTATAAAGCTTTTTGTTTCAGATAGTTTGTCGGTAAAAAATGTCATCAAGGACTAAGAATATTTTAGCAAGAGCCCTAGCAGACAGGCCATCATCGCTCATATCCCCTTAGCCAGCACCATCATCACCTTCATTCCCTTCGCCAATTTCGACGACACTACCATCTAGCCCTCATAATTCACAAAAGCCACCTTCACCAGTCTCAGAGTCACTATCACAGTCCCCAGTACACTCAACTTCTAAAGAAAAAACTCAGTCTCCTCAACCATCATCATCGCGCACCTCTCGAAAATCATATGCAAACACTTCTTTTTCTGAATCGGAACCATATCAAGATTCCGAAGACTTCTATAGGCCATCAGACTGTGAGACAGAAAGTGAAGGTGAATCATCTGCGTAGCCAACTGGAATTCGTAGTGATACTGGAGAAGATAAAGATCAGCAAAATTCAGAATTGAACGCAACACAACACAGCACTGAGAATTGGGGGCCATGTACGATCATTCCTACACCATTTCAATATACAGGTCACGGACTTATGGCAATCAATTTAGATGCATCTAGACCTTACAAAATCTACAGACAGTTCATAACCGATGAAGTCTTGGATCTAATCGTGGAGAAAACAAATCGATACGCAGAGCAGATCATTAGATCAAAAGCATTACGTCGTCGATCACTTTTGAATCAATGGAAGGACACCAACAAAACCGAAATTAAATAGTTTTTTGCAATATTGCTAAGTATGGGTCTCAATAAAGTTCCCAAAATGCAGCTATATTGGTACAACAACGACATTTACTGTAATGAACGAATAAAGAAAATTATGAGTCGAAACCGCTTTGATTTGCTTTTAATGTGCCTTCATTTTGCGGACAATGAGGATCTTCAAGCTGAAACCAATAGATTTTTTAAAATTAAAAAAGGACATTTGCTGCAGCAATTTTCGGAAAACCCTGGTCCCAGAAGAGAAAATTGTAATCGATAAAAGTATGGTGCCTTGGAGGGGTCGTCTCATATTCCGGCAATACCTTCCAGCAAAAGCTTATAAATATGGTATCAAACTGTACAAAGTATGTACACCCGAAAAGTACACATATGACCTGAGGGTCTACGCTGGAAAAAAACGATTCGACGAGAACCAATCCTTCTGCAACCAATGAAGGTGGTCATACGTACAAAATTTGCATGGAACTGATGAGTGATTTAAAAAACTGTGGCAGAACTCTTTATATAGACAATTTTTACACGAGTGTTAAACTTTGCCAAGACTTGTTGAAATCAGAAACATATGTTTGTGGAACGCTGAAAGCCAACAGAAAGTATAATCCGGAAAATGTCAATACAAAAAAGTTGAAGAAAGAAGAGATATATGAGAAGCAGGATGAAAATGGAATCCCTGTAATAAAATGGATGCACAAACGTCCAGTTCTCAAGACAAGCACTGTTCCAAGTCATACCGATGAAATTATATCAACCGGCACCAAAAAACGTAAGGAAGAAGATATCAAAAAACCTTTAGCCATAACTGTTTATAACGCGGCCAAGAAAGGCGTTAATGTCTCTGATTAGAAGTCTTTTTATTACACGAGCTTACGAAAAAGCATCAGGTGGTACAAGAAGGTCATCTGCATCTGAATCTTTTATTTGTTTTAGTTAGAATGTGTTTTATGTAGTGCGATCTATTGTCTAAATTAATGGAATACTCTTTTATTAAACGACAGTGAATAAGTTTTACGTTCTTGTTTTACTTTTTTTTTTTTTTTCAATATACAAACTTACTTTTTATGCCTCTAGAATATGCTGTTTTTACAAACCAATTCAAAAACCGACGTCACGACGTCGCGAACGTGTTAAATTGAAAAATTATAATCGATTTTATTTTTATTAATATACATTAATATTTAGACATAATATGTATTTTTTTATACAATATTTTAAATATCTTAATATCAAGGTAGGATAAAATAAAATATTATGCATATTATTTTATCTATAGTAGGTACAAGCGTTACAAAAAAAATGTATCCTAATTTTAAAAACTAAATTCATTGATTTTTTAAACCAAATTATTGTTACCCTTGGGTATGGAGAACTTCAAGCGGGCGGAAGTCCCTTGGTTGTATGTTTGTCGAATTCGCTTGATACGAGCTTCGATTTGTTTTTAATGCGTTGTTTCTTGGTTTTTGGCAAGAGTTGGTCAAACTTGTTATTGAGGTTGGCAGAAAGGCTTCATTCTCTTGCTTTTCTTCATGTTGAAGTTTGCTTCTTCCATAGGTTTTTTCAAAATTTTTAAACTTTTGCTCGAAAGACCATGAATAGATTTCAAAGATAATTGTTGTAATTAATACCACAAGATGGTTTTCATGAATCTCATTTCAGAGATAATTTTTTAAATTAAACTACCAGATTGCAAAACAAACCAGTTAGATCTTTCGTAGAAGAAGACCCTGTATTTTGCAGATCTTTTGTCCCAGGCCAAAAATGGTTACCCTCTACCATTGTAGAACCAACAGGGCCATTAAGTTACAGAGTGGCCACACCCGATGGTAAAATAGTAAGAAGACATACCGATCAATTGCGAAATAGACATACGCCTTCAGTTCAGCTGGATAAACCTAGTGTACCAGAAATAGAGCCCAACGAAGAGGCTGCATCCGAGGTACTTAATCCAAGCGCCTCCATGACGCCTGAGGCTTCTCCTGTGATTGATCCTGTGGATTATATAAGACGACCCGCGCGTATTAGACACCCTCCAAGATATTTAGAAGATTTCATTCCCTAGGTATATTCAAATCCAAGGAGGAGAAGTGTTACGTATTAGCTGGAAATCTGGCAACCATGTATTTGTTTTAGCGCTTTTGACAGCAGTCATTTTCATGTCTTTTTAGTTTGTAATTTGTTGCACAGTTGTTCTGTACTTTACAGGAATTAAAGTGTGTTAATCTCGATGATTGTTTTAATTCCAGGTAAAATTAAGGTACAAGACCTTACATGTTTCCTGAGGGTTTGGAAACGTGTGAGAATGGGAGTGCCGGATATGTTTTCGAAACTTTACAAGAGAAGATATATTAGCATCATCCGAGTATACACGTCTCTCGAGCATGGTGAATTTGTTCTTAGTCAATCTCTTTATTTCTTATTTGTATTTACATTTATAATATCAGAAACAATAACAATAAAATATAACAATTACCTACAATTATTTAATAATTTAAATACACTTTCAAAACATATTATTTCAATTTCGATCTCGTTCAATGTTTTGCAAATAGTTTATTTTTGATTAAGTCAGCATTTTTATTATTATAATTTACACATCGAACTAGATACGAAATTGGAACACTGTATGAAATTAAACATTTTAAATAAATAAAATAATTAATTTCGTATACAGGATGTTAATTTATTTGGTGAATATAAAGAAAAATGTTCAAATCTGAACAATGCAACTGGGCTATTTTAACAAATAATTAAATAAACATTCTTAAATCTACCGTTTAGGTACCATGGGCAGAATAATATTCCAATTTCCAAATTCACCCTACCGTAAACGCACCAGATTTTAAGGTTAACTTATGACCAATGTATTATAGTTATATAGATTGATCATTTATATGTAAATCAGACATTGAGATAGAATAAAGTAGAAACAACATAAGCACTATTTTGCGATGACATATGGATGCTCTTCGAGTGTCGGAAAAGTGTAATGAAAATGGCGATGTAAGTGGTATTTAATTTTCTTTAAAGTCAGTAATTCTATTTTTGAAGACTGTTGGAATGAAAAAGATATTATATTATTTAAATAAAGCTATTTAACACAATAAGGTACCCACTACAATACAATTTAAGTCTGGCTCAGATTATCTCCCTACTCTTTCCATACAATTTCTCGAATTGGCAAAATTCGCGCAGCGGTAAATGCTTTCTGTGTTACCTCTAACCTGTCTAACATCTTTGGGTATACTTAAAATCAATTAAAACTTCAAAATTTTTTACCCACGGTGAATTGAATTTTAAAATTGTCCCAAGTCGTCCAAATCTACTAATGAAAGAGTTGCAGTTGCAAGTTTTTTTAATCAAATCGAACCCAAAGATGATTAATTTTTACGATATCATGTTAATTGTCAGCATTTATAAGTCATCCAGTATATTAAACATTTTTATATTATTAACTATCTAAACTCTAGATTACTTACCTCATAACAGCATAGTTAAATAGCAAAATAAAATCGAAAACTCTTTTCTTATTACCATATATTTTAGACAACGCATTCCAAAGAATTGGCATTCTTTGACTGCAGTGGGCTAGCTTTACTTCGGTTTCCCAAAATAATTCCAGTTTCTTTCCCAATATGTCCGCCCTGTCGGAATGCAAAGCTGGAAGTTCGGAATATATTGAGGGATCATTTAAAACTTTTTTGAAAAACGGTATTGTCCAACTGAAAAAAAAAAAAAAAAATAAAAATCATATTATGCAAAAAGTAAAGTTTGTAAATTTTTTTTAGGTTATCGTATAACATATCTGAATATTAATTCAAGAGAAACTTGAGGTTTACAAAAACACAATAGAATTGACAAATGGTGTAGACTATTTCACGCACTTATCAAATGAACCAATCGTGAGTTCTAGTCAAGTTCGGATTATCGATAACACCAAACTTGACTCTTGATCCTGATTGGCCTGTCAAGTTCGGTGTTTTCAGATTGTTTATGTGACAGTTAAACGTCAAATATAAATAATTCCGCCTTGCACGCATTTAAAAATGAGCAGATTTGAGATAAATTCCATCGAATTAATCAATTGAAAAATTGATGAAAATGTACCGAAAAACACAAAGAAATCGAAGATGTACGTTTGGAAGCAATTTACTAGTTTTTGCGATGAACGAGAATACGTATTACCTTTCACTTTGTTTGTGAAATAGTCTAATAAAATTCCACTCGTGATTGAATTTATCTTATAATTCTGTCTTTTATTTTAAAACTCAACTGAGTGTCTTGAAGAAAACACCACTCGTCCTCCGGACTCGTGGTATTTTTAAGCAACTAAGTTTAGTTATAAAATAAATCGACAGAATTATCGCGCCAATTCAATCACTTGTTGTATTACTACATAACACAATACCTACAGAACTCTTGATAGAAAAAAAAGAAGATTACATCATCCCACGTATTGGGAAAATCTGAAAAAAAAAATTCAATAAACTCACAACTACAGTAGTATCTTTCAACAAATGCCAAGGCAGTTTATTTTAGTCCCTCTGAAACCCAGCAGGATCCATATGATGAGGCTATCTGGAAAAATAAAACTTAAAACTGAAAAGAGGAAGATTCAATAAACTTATAGCTATAGTACCCCACAGCAAGTGCAGATAAAGGTTGATTTATTTCCTCTGGAGTCAGGGTATCGATTCTTGAATCACATAGAGTAGAAATTTTGAGGTAAGAATAAGACAAAAATACAAATTTTTTGTATTGTAGATAGACAGAAAAAATCGGTTTTTTCTTTTCTCGAATTCAAGAATGGGTATCACAGAAATATTAAAAAAACACTTATATCAGAGAAGATAACAAAATGTGAATCAGGGACAAAATAAATAGAAGGCAGACTTGTTTGCTGAACACTTGTCGGATATCTTTAGACCTAATCAGATGCAGTAGAATAATATTTTGCTAAATCTCCTGATGCACCAAATGAAGTATTTTATGCCATTGTATTTTGTTTTATTTAGTTTAATGTTATGTTATCTATTTTATTTGTGTTACGGACAATATTATTCCTAAATATTAGCACATTCTAATTTACTCGAAAATATTACAAAACTTACATGAAAAACAACCTGGATAAAAAATTAGCTCCAGATTCTGGATTTAGAAGTTTCGGGTCCTCTTTGTCGTTGTTCATTTTTATTAAAATTAAAGAAAAAAATATTTATTGCCTATATAATCGCAGAAGCGTTCATTTTGAAACTACGTCGAAAGGTAAGTATTCGTTAAGGATTTTTTAGATAGATAATTAAAAGTACAATAAATGGAACAGTTAATTAACTAGTGTTCTTATAATTGGTACTTTATACAGTGTACACAACAAATTTATATTTAAAATAATGTAACAAATAAATGCCATAACAAGTGATGTCTAGGATGATTTTGAAATCATTGTCACCTAATTTTTGGTTATAATATGATTTGTTTTGTTTTTAAATAGTTATGTAACGTAAAAGGAAAATAGAGGCCTTGATTAATAATATTAATATTTATGATTTTATTGGCCGCTCTCAACTATAATATCATTTAAAATTAACTAAATGGTACACTGTGCATTAATCAAAATTTATGTTAAACAAATTTTGTTTGATTTAGGACAACCATGCATTTTTAAGGTAGGTAACAAAATTATGCCAAATTTGATTATATTCAGAAGGTGCTGTTATCTAGAGAATTAGTACAAATAATTACAGAAATCTTTAACTGTAAATATCGACCGATTACTATTTAAGGGCCAACTTCGTAATCGAACCCTAAAGACGTATTTAAACAAAAGAAGCTTCTATTTAAAGTTTATTTTAAAGTATTTTTTAAAAAATATTATTTCATAATCGTTTTCCCAACGTACTTTTACTAAAATGCAGCTGAACAATTTTTTACCATGTTGGTATTGCTGATCTGCCTTTAATTCTAACATTTGCCTGAATATTAGCCACAAAAATCTTAATTTTCTATGTCAGGTTTTGGGTTCAAAAATATTTTATATATTTATTAAAAGTATTAATATATGTATATCTTACATTATATTTGTAAAATGATAAGTACCTACCCTGTAAGCAACTTCGTGTTTTTCCAAATTAGCTGACAAAGGAATTAAAGGATTTAATATTGAATTATACTAGGAGTGCAGTGCAAGATACAGGAAGCAAAGTAATCCAAACTATTCTAAATTCTAAGAACCCTTTTATTGAAAGTATCAACGAAACAGAGTACCTACTATCGGCCGGGGACGTGCTGACATGTACAAGGTGTTTGATCCTAAATTATATGTTGAATTGACACCCAAACCGGGGTCGAGTTGATACCAGGGATGAAGTTTAATAATAATAATAATAATAATAATAATAATAATAATAATAATAATAATAATAATAATAATAATAATAATAATAATAATAATAATAATAATAATAATAATAATAATAATAATAATAATAATAATAATAATAATAATAATAATAATAATAATAATAATAATAATAATAATAATAATAATAATAATAATAATAATAATAATAATAATAATAATAATAATAATAATAATAATAATAATAATAATAATAATAATAATAATAATAATAATAATAATAATAATAATAATAATAATAATAATAATAATAATAATAATAATAATAATAATAATAATAATAATAATAATAATAATAATAATAATAATAATAATAATAATAATAATAATAATAATAATAATAATAATAATAATAATAATAATAATAATAATAATAATAATAATAATAATAATAATAATAATAATAATAATAATAATAATAATAATAATAATAATAATAATAATAATAATAATAATAATAATAATAATAATAATAATAATAATAATAATAATAATAATTAATAATAATAATAATAATAATAATAATAATAATAATAATAATAATAATAATAATAATAATAATAATAATAATAATAATAATAATAATAATAATAATAATAATAATAATAATAATAATAATAATAATAATAATAATAATAATAATAATAATAATAATAATAATAATAATAATAATAATAATAATAATAATAATAATAATAATAATAATAATAATAATAATAATAATAATAATAATAATAATAATAATAATAATAATAATAATAATAATAATAATATAATAATAATAATAATATAATAATAATAATAATAATAATAATAATAATAATAATAATAATAATAATAATAATAATAATAATAATAATAATAATAATAATAATAATAATAATAATAATAATAATAATAATAATAATAATAATAATAATAATAATAATAATAATAATAATAATAATAATAATAATAATAATAATAATAATAATAATAATAATAATAATAATAATAATAATAATAATAATAATAATAATAATAATAATAATAATAATAATAATAATAATAATAATAATAATAATAATAATAATAATAATAATAATAATAATAAATAATACTCTCCCTAATTCACCCCCCTTACGAGTGAATTTCAACCCCTGAAGTCGAGCTGAACGACTTGTTTAGGGGAAGGGACGGCTATTATTATTATTTGCCGTGGCGCTCCGGGGCGACCTTAAAGATGATTGATGGTGCCATTTGACTTACAGGTGAAGAAAACCTCACCCACCATCATCGAGACGGTAATGTATGGCGAATTTTTTTTAATCTGCATGTCATATCAACAGAAATTGAATTTCTATTAATACGCCACACATCAAATTCTAAACCGAACCTTGCAATTTAATTAAAAATCCACATGGTTCTGGTCTGGGATTCGAAACCCAGCAGTCTCAGACTCATAAACTTGCCTATAAATGAATATAAGCGCGATAGACCGCTACACCACCGTCCCGATAAATGATCACCCATGGTTAATTTTGCCTTCTTAAGGCTTGCGTCTGACACACAAGGAATCGAATTTCGTGCAAGAAAAAGATGGGTATAACTTTCCGCAAAGTAGGTGTCCCGGGACGTGGCGGTCCCCCGGCAGTGAGTTGAGGAACTTAAAAATTTCTAACCATCGACGAATAGTTTTCTACTTCTGCTTTCAAGCCTCTTACCGTTAATAAATTTACATAAGCAGGCCTGGAATTAGTATCGTTTTAGGAAGAAATTTGAAAAGTTTATTTCTTGTCATAAAAATTTTGAATTAAGGTATGCTAAAATTCAAATAAACCAGTTTAACTTTCTTAGCAAAAATCAAAAATCTAAACAAGCGCGTAAAGAACACAAACCTTGGAATGTACCAACTTATATAGATCAAAATTGTGTATGTATATGCATATTACATATAAAAATGAGTGGTCAATTTTTATTTTGATAATTTTACTAAGTTTAGGTTTTGTAAGATGTAACAGCTAACTAATTTGAAATCAATGATACCATGCTTAAATAAAACGGAAAAACAGATAAAAAATTTAATAGGTAGAAAAACTATTGGAATTCTATGTAAGAAACAGTCAATGGACTCAAATAGTTTTACATAATATACCTACATACATAAAATTGTTAAAAAATAGTTTGATCGTGACTTGAGCTAGCTACGATATCCCTAATTTTCAAATCTGAATCAGCCACAGTTTGAACATGTATAGCAAAAATTTTTTTTTCTGCTTCTTAATATATCAGAACATGTATAGCAAAAAAAAATTCTGCTTCTTAATATGTCAGCATTAACCCTTGAAAATCTGGCAATTTGATAAAATTTTGCAGCTTTCCTTTTCAGTTCCACGTGTGTTTCTAGTATTTTTATGTATCTTCCTCTCAACGTAGCAATTGAATTTTAAACTTTTTTTATTATTCTGCAAGCTGAAGATATTGAAACGTCAATATAATCTGCAGCCAATCTAAGTTGCGTGCATACGGTCATTAGCCTTCTTTGATTTCTTTAATTCCTCTTTTTGACGTCTTTTTTTTATATTGTTTCTTCCTATTAATTTCTTCTTAATATGTGGTATTTCTAACTTATATTATTTATCCATTGCAATGTAACTACGTTTTCTGATCCTATATTGTTGTAGTGGTCAGACCACACATTATTTTGCTTGTTTCAGCGTAAATGTCGAAAGGTTACTTTCCGTCCCTCTTTTGGAAGTGGATAAATTTAACCATTACAGTGAAAATCGGTTTCACGACTCTCAGCCCTTCTGAGAAGGTTATTTAATTTTCTCGAAGTTTACGCTCCATTTCAATCGAAGCAACATAACGTTTTGACTTTCCGCCCACTATCAGTGGCGAATCTACAGAGGTACATATGCATGTTTTCGTAAAAAAAATATGGTATTTTCGCGAAAAAAAGTCCGTGGTATCGAAAGTATTGGAGAATATTTTATATGGACAGAGAATTTAATTTATTACCCACAAAACAATCTGGATTGTGCAGTAGACATAGCTGCACCACTGCCGTTGCAAATGTAGATAATTTAATTCATCCTAAAGATATCAATAAATTAAGTATATCAGTTTTTCTCGATTATTCCAAAGCTTTTATATATTAAATCATCAAATACTGCTGTCAATAGCCGTGTTTGCATGTCCCGTAATCGGTTGAGCTGACGCTGAATGATCGATTTGTTTTCTTAGCCCATCAATTTTTAAACTTGATTTGATTTCCTTTAATTAGTCAAATAATTTACAACTATTTTAAGTTTTCATAACGAATATCCTTTTGTTTAATCAAAGTCAATACAAAATGCTAAAAAAACAGAAATACATTAAAGCGTACTCTATTTGCACTTTTATAAATATCCATCATAACTCAGGAAAACATTAAAGCGATTGACAGTTCATCGCAGTGGCTTAGCCAAACATTTTTTGTAAGAGCGGTTTCTGAGAACTGCGGAGGGGGGTTAACAGTCAATTTTTTTTATAGAAGCGGTTTCTTAGACCTACGGGGAGGGAGTTAACAAATAGTTAATAGCGATCAGCGCCAATAAGATAGCGGAAACATTGACGCGAAGGCCCTCCATGGATGGTAGGGGTCATGACACCCAAAACCCTTCTGTGGCTACGCCACTGGGTTTATCGTCAACGATTACGTTTCATTCATGACAGACACTAGGACGAACAGATAAGTTAACTGGGGGTAAACATTTTTAATCAAGGCGCGCATGACGTCATTGCGTTGGGGATATATGGAGACGCTATAGCTTTTCATTTTATTCTTGCCTAAAAATTGGAGAGATATCTGTATCTGCAACGTGTG